TGATAAAGAAACAGAGAGAGGTTTGCATCACAACTGCAATTGAAAAAGAGTTTGAAATGAGGTAGGGAAAGGGGAAGAGGGAGGAGAAGTGAGAAAAGGGATAGAAGGAGGAGAAGTGGAGACCTAAAATCAATTTTTAAAGAAAATAAAAGAAATAGAGAGAAAGAAGGGGGAGAGATGAAATTAGGACAAGATAAAAAAATATTTTAAAAAATTTGAAGAGCAAAAAAGAGAAAAGGGAAGAGTGTTATTGTTCCAGAGAAGGTGTATGGTGAAATGCAAAAATGCGAGATTTTCACCATATCCCTTCTCTACTTCTAAGATTTCCACTATAACGCTTGAATATCTTTTCTTCCCACTAGGCTATCTCCATTGCCATCTATGAGAGTGAGGAAGAAAAATTTCTCCATTGAGGATATTTTTCTTGGAGTTTTCCTCAAACAGTGAGTTTGAAGACTTTTTATTTTGAAAGAGTTGTTTGTGATAGGAATAGATTGGATTGGCTTGGTTTAAATAGGAGGAGAAGATAAGGAGGGGAGGTTCATGGGTTCCATTTAGTGAGTAGTTAAAATGGTGAGAGTAAAAGAGTTTCAACTCCCAAGAAGTTGAATTTTGAAAAGTTGAAGGAATCTTTTACCAGTTACCAATGTGTTGAAACTGTCTCAAATGAAACCAGTTTCGTTTGGTTTGAAAACGTAACTGTTTTGGTTTGGCTAAGCCCAAAAGAATAGCACAAAAAAATCTATGCACTATAGGGAAATTGTTCCTATTAATTTCTCAATGCCCAAAATAAAATCTATCATTTTTCATTCCCTAAAGTTCTAATTTCTAATTAGGACGAGGTAGTAGCAAAAAAAAATTATAAATTTCATTTTTAAAAGAAAAGTGGTACTAATTTTCCAAAGTCCTATACATAAAAAAATCCTATGGACCAATACTTTAGAGCGAGAGTGGAAATGAACTAAGGGTTAAAACTAAGTTTAAGAAGGCAGATTTTGTAGAATACCTGAATCGGAGGTCTCCAACTCTAGTACTAAGATTGAGGTATATGTCTTCCCTTGCTTAGAGTTCATTAGTAGTTTATTACCAAAAACAATTATTAGCCAAAAACAGTTAAGTTCCCCCTGAATTACATACCCCCTGCATGTATGCATGCATAATCTCAAAGCTTATACTTAAAGAAAATATTCAAGCATAATTAAGAGATGTACCAAGAAAACTAATGTTTAAACAGGAAGGTGTTTTCATCAAAATATAAATAGTTTATCAACAAGACTTCCCCCTATTTTGATGAAAAGAGCCTTCAACTCCTCTTCCGTTTGGAGGATCCGGGCAGCCTCACCAATGCCTTGCATAACTCCACATTCTTCTTTGATGCGCTTTAGATTGTCATATCTTTCCTTTGTCAGATCTGCATTAGTGAAGTGGGAGGCAATGGTTCCTAAAGCTTCAGTTCCATCAAACTCATTGTTTGACAAATGTTGAATCGAGTTCTCCGGGTTGCTCTGCTAGGCCTCCAAAATCAGTTCTGTCATGTTCAAATGGGTTGGAATGTACCCGAGCTCTCCTTGTTTTTCTTGAATCGGAAGCCTTGGAATTTTAGGTAAACTTTTGTGTTGGACAATCACCTCCAGCTTGTGTTTGGCAGTGAAGGTTCCAAAGTGCTTGAAAACTTTGAATCCTTCGTTCTGATTATCAGCAAGAACCTTAAGATAATCTTGAGTTACCACATGGTTTGCTGATGACACTTCCAGGGCTGACCTGATGTCCATTTGGAGAAGTGACATATGTTTCTGAAGGTTGACTGTGACGGTGGCAATCTACTGCTTGATCTCTAAAGCTTTTTTGAGTTGAAGATGGTAGTCAGAGGCATAAGACATCATTGTATTGCTCAGAGAGTTACTCAATAGAGAAATGGTCTCTAGAGTTTTGTTCACAGATAGGCTTATCTCCTTGAGGTTTGAGCTATATTTCTATTCAGTCTTCTCTAGAATTTGGTTGTGCCTCTATTCTATTTTATCTAACTCTTGCCTAAAAGAGGCTTTCTAAGATTCCAGGGCTGACTCAACCAGCCCTTGGACCTTCCTGGTCTAGGATTCCGGCATCTCATTTGGAAACATTGATGTGGAAGAGCTGTGAGAGTGGAAGTTGGTCACCTGAGTTGAAGAAGGTACCCTGTGATAGAGTTGCAGAGGGAGGGATTCATCATCTTCTCCTTGCTCAGCATCTTCTTCATCAATCTTCAGGGTCTTCACTGACTCTTCCTCTGTTTCTACATTCCCGTAGTTTGAGATCTCTTGGGAGAGTAAATCTCTTGCTACATCTTCAGTTTGTTGCTCAAAAATAGCAATTGGAGTTTAAGTGGCTTCCAGTCTGGCTATTTGAGCACCTTCTGTTGTTTCTTCAAAGCTTCTCTGGGCTTCCACTACTGGTTCCTTCTAAGTTTCTTCTGCTGTAGCTTCTAGAGGAGTGGACTTCTCCAGATTTTCTGTTGACTTCTCTGGAATTTCAGGTTCAGTCTGGTTGGAGATCTCATAAGTGGTTGTGAGGATCTCATGAACCTGAAATTGGAGGGATTGCAGAAGTTCTTCTTTTGATGCTTCTTGATTCTGTTCTTCTTGCTAGGGAGTGGCTTCATTCTCCAGAATGGTTCAGCAAGACCAGTTTCAATGGCAGGTGAGGATTCTGGAAAAACTTGGAAATCCTCTTCTTTAGCCTCCAAGTCTGCCTGTGCTTCAGCAGTGATGTTCTCAGCCTAGTCTGCAGTCTGATTACCAGCTGAATTGATGAACATGGGTGTGTAGACTGCTGTATAATCATCATCAACATCAAATTCTGAGGGTGGAGAGGTGGTCAAGTGTTCCAGCAACAGATCTTCATTGGTTTTCTGCCACACCCATTCCTCATCCAAAATCTACTCACAAGAGCAGTTGATTGGCAGTCCCAGACACCGCTTGATAATCTTCTCATTTTTCAGTTGTTGATCCATTCAAGGAACTGATCTGCAGAGTTTCCAACCTTCCAAGCTCTCCAAACATAGTAGAGCTGCATGAATTTGTTTACTTCATCAGCAAGATCTTGTGATGAAGGAGATGGAAGACTCTGGTCTTGATAGGTTTCTTCATTAAGATCTTGAGGACTGTTTTGTGGTTGGTTCTGCTCTGAGTTATCTAGAACGACATTTCCAGATGTGGAGGGAGAAGAAATTCTTCTCTTCTTCTTCTTCTGAAGTTCTCCTAGAGCAGAGACTTCCTCTTCTTCATCCAGATTGACCAATCCAAGTTTCTGAGTTTCCTCAGCACTGGAGGAGGGAGATACTACTTGCTTCATTTTTGAGGACTTCTTCAGACTTACAATCAGAAAATTGTCTGAAGATCCTTCATCTTCTGCAACAGAACTGGTTCTGTTCTCTCCCTTGGTTGACAGATAGTACAACCAATATCTGGCATCATATTTCTACTTGGGCTTCCCTAAATGCTTGGAAACTAAATTGAAGAAGTGTTTAGCCCAATTTACCAAAGTCTTGGTAATGAGGGCGTTGATGATGAAGGCTCTTTCCTGGGTTATGTCATCTGCATGTCCTCCACTTCCACACTCCAGGCATGCAATGACAAGTTCCAAGACTAATTTGTAGTCATTCTTCAAATCAGCCTTCTTTGCTGGGCCAGAGGGGATTTGTCCAGAAATCCCAATTGTGTTCCAGTCCAGATTCTTGGACGAGAGCTTCCTAATATCAATTCCAGAGTTGGGAAGGTGAAGCTTCTTCTTCATCTTCTTTTATGAGATCTTCACTGCGGTGCCTCCAACCGTAGATTCAATGACTTGAATCGACCTCTGTGGATTCTTCTTGGATTGAATAGTTGTGACTTTTCCATTCCTGTAGAAATCAAGAACTTCTTCTTCATACTTGAAGGAAGCAAATTTCAAGATGAAGAAATTCAGAGAGTTCTTGAGTTGCAATCATCTCCAAATACGCTTCGTAGAAGGCAGTGAAGAGCAATTGACTTCCAAATTCTTGAAGTGAACATTTGCGCCTCCAACCTTCATTTTTGTTGAATTTTGGGAGAAAGAATCTGAAGAAATTAGGGTTCTTATGAGATTTCTCGCGAGGAAGACGACAAAGATTGTAGTGGATTGAGTGGGCAGTTGAGATCTGAATATAGTGGCGATATGGTTTAATTTTGGGCGATATATGCGGCTGGTGGCGATTACGTTTTCAACTGTTCCAAAGGCCACGTGCTTACTCATTACTTTACCAGACGTGGTAAGTGGGTTGCCACGTGTACCGCACTCAGTCTAATTGAATTAGACCAATTTTGTGAAGCAATTTGGAAAACCTGGTTTCACTTAGTGGTTTTGTGAAGATATCCGCCAATTGTTCTTCAGTTGAGATGTACTCAATTCTGATATCCTTCTTTTCCACATGATCTCTGATGAAGTGATGCTTGACGTCAATGTGCTTAGTGCAAGAATGATGCACTAATTTTGTGAGATGGCTATATGACAATCGTAGTTTTTCGGGTATTAAACCTTCCGAGTAAAGAGTTAGTTTTCTCTCTGAGTGTCGTATCTCTCGAGGAGTGGACGAAGGGAATTAGTTTAATTACTCTAACTAGGCGAAGGTTAGGATTGATTTATGAAAGTCTTCTCGGAACGAAAAAAAGGGCAGAGTAAAATAATAAATAAATTAAGTTTACATAGTATAAGTGTAGATCTGGATCTAGGGTCTGGATATCATGTGGATCTATTTTGTCATATTAAATTAACAATTGGAATAATAATATTTCTATTACTACTCATCCATTTCTAGATTTGTACTTAATCCGTTGTACTTGAATATCATAGCCTTTTGGCATACAATATTTTCTCAATAAATGGCCAATTAAATCTTTCGAGTTTAATTAACCAAATAAGGCAAGAACAATAGATTAACCATTCCAACATTAATTTAACATCAAAAATAAACAACCAAACTAGTCCAGACCCAGAGATCCGGACCCTAACTCATACTATGCAAACATAAATTAAAATAACATTTTATTAAATAGAGAAAACTTACAACCTCCGTAAGAGCGGAACAGAACAGATCTGGAGTCAAAACCTCCGAAAATACTTCAAAACTAACTACTACAACTATACTACAAACTATAATGGAGATTGGAAGAGTAAATCCCGAAGTTGGGATAAAGTTGGATGATAAAAATGAGAAGAATCGTGCTGTATTTATAGGAATGGATCCAAGGCGTCCAAGTCCAAGCGTCCAGATCTGGACGCCTGAGCTGCCCCGGCCAACCAGATTTTGCCACGTGTCATTCTTGGGCTGCAATTAAGCCAAAGCTTCCAACTTCCAAGCGTCCAACTTGGCCAAGCGTCCAAGTTGGACGCCTTAGGCCCTTCTCTTGTTGGGCTTCGCGGCGGGTTTGTGATTTTGGCCCAAATTTGCTCCGTTTTGGCCCCGAACATTGTTTTTGACCTCCCGGAAGCTCGTTCAAGCCCGAATCTTGATGTCTTGATGATTTATTCCCTTTTTCTCAAGTATTTGAACATAAAATGGATGATTTATGATAATTTAATGTGGAATCCCATTTTATGACTCTTAGAACGAAAATGAGAGTTTTATTCATTGAAATCACATTTTATAAGATGATTAAATACTATTTACCTGCAATAACGTTTAGAATATGATGTAAATGATAAGAACAAAATGGACTTATCACTATAGCACTTTGATTGCCACAAAATATAGTCACTTCCTTTGTTTTGACTCCATAATCCAGTAGTTGTTGCTTTAACCACAAGATTTGAGCACAACAATTACCAGTAGCAATCTACTCTGCTGTAGATGTAGAGATGGAATTTTGTTTCTTACTGAACCAAGAAACAAGATTTTCGCCAATGAATTGACAAGTACCAGATGTACTCTTCTGGTCAACTTTGCAAACAGCAAAGTCAGAATCTGAGTATCCCACTAACTCAAATGAGCTGCTCTTAGCATACCATAAACCCATGTTATGAGTTCCTTTAAGGTATCTAAGAATCCTTTTGGCTGCTATTAAATGGCTTTCCTTTAGCTTTGATTGAAATCTAACACAAACACCTACTGCATATGAGATATTCGGATGGCTTGCAGTAAGGTAGAGTGGAGATCTAACTATTCCTCTGTAGAGAGTTTGATCAATATCCTTTCCATCTACATCAATGTCAAGCTTGTTGGATGTATTAACAGTACAAGAAATCTTATATTTCACCGCACTTATTTAACCACACATAACTATGTGTGGGAAATATTTAATGGGTATTTTATTTTTTTGCATTTATAAGTGTTGCCATCAACAATTCTAACCCAAACCCGTAATCGTTAATACATAACCCAAACCATACGTAGGAAGTACACAACAACAGATCTAGATCTCCCGTTTCTTATCCGTGGGATTCTTCATCTTTGATCCTTCGATCATGTCATCTCCCACTTCCGATCCGTGAGATTTATCATATTTGATCCTTCCATCATGTCAATTTTTTTTATCTTTATCCTTCAAATGCCAGAGTCGGGAGGGAGATGACGCAGGGGCTAGGGTTTGTTACCTTAGGTCCTGATTTTGGATCTCCGATCTGATTCGTGAATCTGGCGACAGTGAGTTATAAAAACGAAGACTATCACCGCCATGGATGTCATATTTGCTCTCAAGCGACAGGGCCACACCCGATACGGCTTCAACGGCTAAGGTTTGAAGTTCTAGAATTTGTTGATTTTAGACATATCGTATTTCTTCTTTCAATTGATGTATATTTTGCTAATATTATTCTTTGTTGGAGGCTCTTGGAATGGAGATATCTCTATGTTCTTTTCAATTAATTCTCATGTTTTTGTCACTGGGTTTGGATTTTAAAATTTAAAATCCAAAGGATGAAATAAAAAAATTGGATTTCTGAAAGAAAATCCGTCTATTTCTCTCCCTTTTTTGATTTTGTTTTGAAAAATCCATTGTTCTTCTGAATGAGCTGTGGTCTTGAAGACAAAAATTTCTGAAAGAAAATCCGTCTATTTCTCTCTCTCTCTCTCTCCTCAAACTCTGAAAAATACTAAGTGGATCTTGTTCTTTAACTCCTGTTTTCACGCCCACAATAGGGTTTGAGCTTTGTCATGTTCATCTTCTTTTCCTTTTCAATTTGAATTTTTTTTCATTTTTCTTCTGGAAGCTGAATTTGAAATCTTAAAAAAATAAAAAATCACATTTCCTCCCTTCTAAAGGTTCCTAGCTTTTTTGTATTGCGATTTTCATGATTGATGTAGAGTTACTGTGTTATGTATACATATACGAATAATTGTAAATCCAGGTGTTGGAATTTTGGCTTAGAGGGTGCCATATTCTTCGTCATTTTTGTTTTGGAATCATCGGGGCAGCTTTTCATTTTGCCGGGTATTAGCTTGCTCTCCCAGACTCGTTGGTTTAATTGGACTGGATTTCTTAAGGACTGCTCTTAGTGGTTAGTTGGTGTCTTGCTCTAAACGGCTACACCAACTTTTTCACGCAGGTAAAAGATTTGTATGAATTTGATCCGTAGTTAGGAATATTACCTTCAGGGAGTAGTTTCTGAATTAAGATTTATTCCTCCCTAACATGGATTTATTTGATTGTGTCGACTCCGGAGGAGTATACTAATTTCTGAATTTGGGATTAATCTTTGTCATAATATCATTCTTTTTGTCTACTCATATTAGAAACTAATGCAATAAAATTCAATTTGTTTTAGCACTCTAATCAAATAGAGCCCTCTTGAAGCGATGGTTATCAACTCTTTATTCAGAATCATACAGAGTAACGAAGAAGGATCAAAGAATTCGACTACAGACCAACTTATACCCTCCTCGATAGGTAGAAATATTTGTCATGCTACTTTCTGACAGTGTTGTGAAGGTGATGAGATTTTCATAGTTTATAATCAACTAAAGTGGTTTATGTAAATCTTTAAGGTATAAATTGGCTTTGGTAAATGTTTCTCAGTCATTCATATTTTTACCAAACATTTACTATAAGTAATTTCTTTGCTATTTTTTAGTACTTTGATGCTGTTCAATGTTGTATGTTCTTAACTACTATTATTTTCTTTTTGATTGTGTGTGTGTCTACTCCAACAAATAAATTTTATTAACTGATGAAAGGGGATTCAATCACAGGTACGAGCCTCAACGCTGGCGTGCTGATTGGGGAATCTCAGGTACATAGAGGGTTAACTCAACATCCTAGAAGATTAACTTCAAATCTAGACAGGAGGTTCAGCATAAAAAAAGAGGACCAGAGTTATGCAAGAACACCAAATCCTCTATCTGTATTCAAGCCAAGGTTCTGTCATGATACAAGGGAGGAGATTACTACATAAGAGACGACCAGTATGCTCATATTATACTTCAGACTAGCATTTTCTTTAGAATCCAAACCAAAAGTTAGCATTTTTGACGTTGTTTGTTTTATGTGTAATTTTGCTGGTTGTAGTGTACATCTTTTTTCAACTTGGTTTTGTACACTGATAATTATTAATTGTACTTGGTTGGTTTTAATGCATGCATATGAATGAAATGTGTGCTCGCTTCCAAAACAAGTTGTTATTAATATAAAAATCTTATTTGTTATAATATAATTTTTATCTTGTTACAATTAATATATGCATTTTATATTAATTATGGAGTACATTTTTTTTAAAAAAATAATGCGTCATTAGTAACAGTTATAAGTGTTGGTGGCATAAATGCACTTATAAGTGTGGCAAAATGAAGTATTTGCAACATTTTATAAGTGTGGGTAAATCATTCATTTGCTACACTTGGCTCTAAGTGTGGCAAAGTTTTACCACATTTACGTAGCCGCACTTAGGCATGTGCGGCAAAAACTTTTCTCCACATTTATATGTGCGGCAAACAACCATTTTAAGTGTGGCAAAAAGCACATTTTCTTGTAGTGTAATGGGGACAGAAACGGATGACTTTTGATCAACTTTGAACTTCTTGATTAGATCCCTTGTGTACTTGGCTTGGTTGATGAGAGTCCCTTCACTTCTCTGCTTGATTTGAAGACCAAGGAAGTAGTTGAGTTCCCCCATCATGATCATCTCAAATTTTCCTTGCAAGAGGGTGGAGAACTTGGTGCAAAGAGCTTCCTTAGTTGAGCCAAATATGATGTCGTCACATAGATTTGGACCAATATGAGATCTTCTCCATCTTGTAGTTATAACAAGGTCTTGTCAATGACTCCTTTGATGAATCCATTGTCTATTAGGAATTGAGAAAATGTATCATACCAAGCTCTTGGTGCTTGTTTGAGTCCATACAACGCCTTTTTGAGTCTATACACTTGATCGCCTTTAGTGTGTAACTCAAATCCTGGAGGTTGTTCCACATAAACTTCTTTCTCTAGGTTTCCATTGAGAAATGCGCTTTTGACATCCATTTGATAGACTTTGAAATCCTTGTGAGCAGCAAAGGCTAGAAATAACCTTATAGCTTCAAGTGTAGCAACATGAGCGAAGGTTTCATCAAAATCTATACCTTCTTCTTGACAATAACCTTTGGCAACCAACCGGGCTTTGTTTCTGACAACAACGCCGTTTTCATCCATCTTGTTCCAGAAAACCCACTTTGTCCCAATGACATATTGATGAGTAGGTCTTGGAACAAGTTTCCAGACGTCATTTCTGGTCAATTGGTTGAGCTCTTCTTGCATTGCATTGATTTAATCAAAATCAACTAGAGCTTCTTCAATGCTCTTTGGTTTTACTTGCGAGATGAAACATGCAAGCATGGCCTCTAGATTCTGTTGAGCACTTCCTGTGCGAACGTCTGATTGAATATCTCCAATGATTTGTTGAGGAGGATGATCCCTTAACCAACGAAGATTGTGTTGATTAGGGTTGACTGGCTGATCTAGTTCTGCTTCTGGTTGGAGAATAGAGTTTGTTGGTGTTTCCAGATGGATTGGCACTCGATAATCGCTTTCGGAATTATCGCCATGTGAGAGATCTGGGATTTTGAAAGGCTGGACATGATTTCCGGTAGGCTCAGCACTATCTGAACCCAAACTTCTCTGTGAAGTCTTTAATGGTAGACTTCCGAATGGAATGAACTCCGTTGGCTTCATTCTATCTCCTTCGTTGACTTTTTCATCTTTGTCTGAGAGATCGAGAACCTCATGATCAGGCTTTGATGGTTTGTCAACTACATGTTTTTCATCAAAAATAACATGTATTGACATTTCAGTGATCATGGTTCTTTTGTTGAAGACTCTAAACGCCTTGCTCACCAGAGAGTATCCAAGGAAGATGGCTTCATCTCATTTCTCATCAAAAGTGTTCAGATGGTTCTTCCCGTTGTTTAACACAAAATACTTGCTTCCAAAAATGTGGAAATATGATATATTAGGCTTTCTCCCATTCCATAGTTCATAGGGAGTTTTGTTGTGTCTTTTATAAATCATACTCCTATTTTGAGTATAGCAAGCTGTGTTTACAGCTTCAGCCTAGAACCTTTTTGGCAAGAAAGCTTCTGCTAGCATGGTTCTCACAGCTTCCTTCAAGGTTCTGTTCCTTCTTTCGGCTACGCCATTCTGCTGTGGTGTCCTTGCTGCGGATGTCTGATAAAGAATTCCGTTTTCTTCACAGTAATGAATTATGATTTCATTCAGGAATTCTGTGCCTTTGTCAGATCTGATCTTCTAGATGGTCTGACTTGCTTGGTTTTGAATCAGCTTCATGCAGTTTGTGAGCTTCCCTTGAGTTTCCTTCTTGCTGTTGAGGAAGATTGTCCATGTGTATCTTGAATAGTCATCAACTACTACTAAGACATAATTCTTTCCATTTAGACTTATTGGAGTAACAGGTCCAAATACGTCCATGTGAATATAACTTAGTATCCTTGTAGTTGAGTGTGCCGGTTTCGCCTTGAAAGTGGACTTGACTTGCTTTCCTTTCTGAAAAGCATCATAGATGCTTTCCTTCTTGTACACAGCTTTGGGAAGACCTTCCACTAACCCTTCTTTGGACAACTTGTTGAGAGTTTCGAAGTTGAGATGACTCAACCTTTTATGCCAAAGTCATAGAAGGTTAGTGTCACCTTTCCTGATTAGGCATGCTTCCTTGACGTCATCCTGTTAGAATAAGTGACCAACGCTAGAGAGGAGGTGAATAGCGTTTGACCATAGAAATCGCAGGAATAAAAAATTAAGAACGTGAAAAGTAAAGAGCGTAGAAAGCGTAAAGGGAGCACACCAAGATTTATACTGGTTCACCACAACGTGTGGCTAATCCAGTCTTCCGAGAGACTCTCTCAAGCTACACTACTTCCGTTAAGCTTACAGGTGCTTAACAAACCGTTACAACCTGAGAACTCGAGTCGCACGAGCCTCAACAATACTTGCTCGGAGATACCACACTCCAAGAACCCGAAGGAAAATACCTTTCCTTCGTATAACCAAGGGAAATAGGCTTCCCTTAACGTGTATACAACACTAAGACAATCAAGAACAAGACTCTCCTTAAGAGTGGATATTGAGTAAAATATATACGCTCAAGAACAACTCAAACTTCACACAATTTGGCTCTAGAAAGCTATGAAAAAGATGTTATATGAATGCAATGATAATGTGTGTAATGTGAAGTGAATTGATGTGTAAAGCAGACCCAAACATAATGTGTGTAATGTGAAGTGAATTGATGTGTGTAATGTGTGTAATATCCTCCCATTGTTGGGAAGTCACTTACCCATGGATGGGTAATATCTCCCATCGCTGGGTAAGGGTATTCTGCCTTGTGATAATGTTGGACCAAGGCTTGAACTGCGATGGGTAGAGCTTCCCATCGCTGTTTGGCATGATTCTGGAATTCAATTGGGCTGAAGTTTGCTTACCCATCGCTGGGTGGCATGATTCTGGAATCTCGGAATCACTTACCCATGGCTGGGTGATATCTACCATCGCTGGGTAGATGGCTAGCCCAGAACCATGGCCTAGCTGACTGGCGCTGAAACCCGACTGAAAAATGCAAAGTTCTCCAAAGTAAAAACCAAGCATATAAAACACTTATTTAATGTATTGTGATGTCAAAACAATATTTGTAAGTTGAAAGCCACGTCGTTAAGGTAAAACCAACGGTTGACCAAGTCCACACCGTACACGAGTGGTTTTTATCAAAAGACAAAACAGAAAGGTGAATTTCATGATCTTTTGATTGGAGAACCATTTAAATGCATTCAAAAAAATTCCCACACAAAAAGACTCAAAAACCACTTCATTTAAGTAAAAACCGCGGCTAGCCAAGTTTATGTCGTTTCGCATGGTTTTTATCAAACGACAAAAAACATAAGGTAGTTTTTGAGGTGTTTTTGTTGGAGAACTGTTTAAACATGCCAAAGAGTGAAAACCAATCATAAAATGCTGAAAACCATTTTGGTCTTCGTTTAGCTCTTGTTCTTATCTTCGTTCTTCGCCTTGTATATTCAATGTTTGACTTGATCACGGCAGTTTGGCATTATCAAAACCTGTCATAAAACGAACACAGCTTTAGTACCAGAACGTGATAAACCCGCGTTTCAACAATTTCCCCTTTTTTGATAATGGCAAACAAGACGGGGTTATGCATAGGAGGATTGGTTTGAGACTTAAAAAATGTTCCCCCTTAATAAATGCAATTTTCTTTTCAAGAAAGTTTATGTGTTGAATAAGAGTTAGTTTTAGAAATAGTTCCCCCTCAATCTATGCATAACCTTTATATCTTCCCCCTTTTGACATTAACAAAAAGAATTAAAAGTAAACTTTTATTCATTAAAAGGGAAATGCAGAATACAACGAATAAAAATACAATCATATTTAATAAGGAGAAAATAAAGAAGATGTCATGGCGTCAGTGTTGGCCTTCTTCTTTGAAGCCTCGATTTTGGTCCTTGACTTTCCTCTGGCCATTGTTGAAGCGTTTAGAAAGTGAGTAGAGGCTTAAAGTATGCAAGAGGAATGTGAATTGTGTGTTAAAAATGACCAAGGATGGTTAATATTTATAGGAAAAGAGAATTTGGGCCCTTGGTGTTAAAAAATATGGCTGTTGGGCATTGAATGAGGTGCCCAACGGTTATGATTTTTAAACTGCAACAGGCTTCCCAGCGATGGTAAGGTTCTACCATCGATGGGAAGACAGGTACTGGAAAGGGAGGCAAAAAGTGAAGGCAGCCTTCCCAGCAATGGTAAGGTTCTCCCATCCATGGGAAGACAGCTACTGGAAATCCGTTAAAAAATTTTTTAAAAAAAGTGTCAAACACCTAGCGATGGGAAGAAGTTCCCATCGATGGGAAGAGGGCTGCTAGTTAGAAAATACTTCCTTCCCGGCGATGGGATAAACCACCCATCGCTAGTTCCCCTTGAGTTCCTCACTTTGATACCTACCTGCAAAAAAGCAACACTTTGGTACCCAAAGTATGTTTATGGGTCCTTGGGGGTTAGTTAACCATTATTGCTCACACACACACCCAAAATTCGTTTCCTTACACGCGCACACACACACACGATTAGATGATCGTTTAGGAATTACCTTGGCCAACCCATGAACTCGTGGTTGGCGGGTTCCAGTCTACCTGAACGGAGTGCCGGTATCTCGGTGTGATTTGTGTTGGTTCCGGTAACGGAATGTGGACATTCTTCTTTTCATCAAAGTAGAAGAAATAGTAAGGTTTCTTTTGTGCATTATCCTGTGGAGATTGTTTATGATACGAATATCCTTTTTCAAAGGATTTCTTTTTGTTAGCACCAAATATGTTGTGTGTTTCATTATAGGTGAAGTGCCTATGTCTGGTAAAACACACGGGAGCTATATGTCCTACCCTATTGCAATAATGGCATACTACGTTTGGGTTGAACATATGCCTAGGTTGGTAATAGCTAGGGGGTCTAACCATATTCATCCTATTTTGAGAAAACGTTGGTTTTTGGGTATTTTGAAGATTTTCTCTTCTAGGTGTTCTAGCATTATTTTGTCTATTTGAAAAATTATTTCTGTGCATAAAATCATTTTGATAATTCTTCCTAAGTTTCCTAGAATGCTCGTGTTCGTAACTAACCTTTTGTCTAGGTTGTCTATTCTTTTTATTTCTATCTTTCTTAGGTTGAGCTCTAGGTGGTTTACGGTTGTGCTCAACTTTTTTTTATTTTTTAGGTTCATTAATCTTCCCAAAACCTATTCCTTGTTTAGTGTATTGCATAGAATCAAAAACGAGATTAAGATCCTTATGTGGTTTATTAAATTTCTTCACCGCGTTTTCTAGTTCAGAAACTTGTTCTTTCAAAGCTATGCAAGAGTCACAATTTTTCGTAGAGCTCTCGGGTTTGTCGTCGCTTCTTTTACCATAAAATTTGTTTTCCTCTTTTAGTTTTTCATTTTCCTTTTGAAGTTTTTCAAGTTCAGTTTCAAGATTGGAAAAATGTTTCTTTAAAACTTTGTTGGTTTTAGAAGCGCTAACAAACTCGTCATAAAGCTCTTGGAGAGCTACTTGCATTTCTTCAGAAGAATAAGAACCGGTAGAAGAAATACGTACCTCTTGGTTTTCATTGTTGGCGGACTCCTCTTCTTCTTGAGCTATGAGACAGAGATTTTCTTCCTCTTCTTCATCTTGTTCGCTTGATTCATCGCCGGAGTCGCCACCCCAAGAGATGTATGCTCTTTGCTTTTTCAAGTGACGAGCATTCCTTCCGCTTTTTGGGCATTTGTTATTGATGTGCCCGGCTTCACCACATCCATAGCACACAGGGCCATCCTCAACTTTCTCTTTCTTCCTTAGAAGTTTACAAAACTTCTTCATGACAAGATTGACTTCATCTTCGTCGCTTGAGTGATTCATTGCTGGTTCTTTGGAGGCTTTTAATGCTATTCCTTTACTCTGATCATTCAAAGACGGGTTAAGTATAGTAGATTCATACATTTTTAATTTACCTCTTAAACCGTCGATGGTGACATTTGATGTGCCGATTGACTCATAGATGGCATCGACCTTAGATCACCATTCGGATGTCAAACTCCGTAGGATCTTTCGTACAAGATCCCTGTCGGTGTAGGTCTTCTTCAATGCATGAAGATCATTGACTATCTTGGAAAATCAGTCGAACATGTCGTCGATCTTCTCGTGCTCCTTCATCCTGAACATCTCATATTCTTGGGTTAGGAAGTCAATCTTGGCTTCACGTACTTGGTCCATTCCTTCGTACGTCACTTCAAGTTTATCCCACATCTCTTTGGCGGTTGAGCAGCAAGAGATCTTGAGGTAGTCATCAAGATTTACGGCACAATAAAGCATGTTTATTGCCTTTGCATAATTCTCGACCTTTTTGATGTCCTCGGCATCAAACTCGTCTTTGGTATTGGGGATCAACTTGTCTCCGACTTTCTTCATCGGCACCTCTTCCCCGTTTTTGATAACCAACCATAATTGGAAGTTCGTGGAACGAATATAGATTCTCATTCGTTCTTTCCAATATGTATAATTGGTTCCATCAAAAAGAGGTGGCCGTGTGGTTGATTGCCCTTCACCTATTCCTGCATACAAATTTCTAGAACAAGAACCCATGATCGCTTTTCTCTCAAATGGTTAAGTTTGGACGCGAGTTAGGCTCTGATACCATTTGTTAGAATAAGTGACCAACTCTAGAGGGGGGTGAATAGCGTTTGATCATAGAAATCGTAGGAATAAAAAATTAAGAACGTGAAAAGTAAAGAGCGTAGAAAGCGTAAAGGGAGCACACCAAGATTTATACTGGTTCACCACAACGTGTGGCTAATCCAGTCTCCCGAGAGACTCTCTCGAACTACACTACTTCCGTTAAGCTTACAGGTGCTTAATAAACCATTACAACCTGAGAACTCGAGTCCCACGAGCCTCAACAACACTTGCTCGGAGATACCGCACTCCAAGACTTCAACCCGAAGGAAAATACCTTTCCTTCGTATAACCAAGGGAAATAGGCTTCCCTTAACGTGTATACAACACTAAGACAATCAAGAACAAGACTCTCCTTAAGAGTGGATATTGAGTAAAATATATACGCTCGAGAACAACTCAAACTTCACACAATTTGGCTCTAGAAAGCTATGAAAAAGATGTTATATGAATGAAATGATAATGTGTGTAATATGAAGTGAATTGATGTGTAAAGCAGACCCAAACATTCCTTTTTATAGTGCCAAAATAGGCTCCACCGGCACAATACATTAAAGGGGTGATTGGCTTGATTTATGGGATTGAATAAATTTGGGATCTGCAAGATATTGGCTTCCCATCGATGTTTAGACTCAACCATCGCTGGTAAGCCAATTTTCCTTCTGTTTTGAAGCCAATGGTCACCTACCCAGCGATGGGTACAAGCTTCCCATCACTGGGTGGGAGGTAAACTTCCAAACAAGGAAAGAATCAACCTTAAATGACTTCCAACGGTCATGCCTTCCCATGGCTGGGTAATATCCTCCCATCGCTGGGAAGTCACTTACCCATGGATGGGTAATATCTCCCATCGCTGGGTAAGGGCATTCTGCCATGTGATAATGTTGGACCAAGGCTTGAACAGCGATGGGTGGAGCTTCCCATCGCTGTTTGGCATGATTCTGGAATTCAATTGGGCTGAAGTTTGCTTACCAATCGCTGGGTGGCATGATTCTAGAATCTCGGAATCACTTACCCATGGCTGGGTGATATCTACCATCGCTGGGTAGATGGCTAGCCCAGAACCATGGCCTAGCTGACCGGCGCTAAAACCCGACCAAAAAATGCAAAGTTCTCCAAAGTAAAAACTAAGCATATAAAACACTTATTTAATGTATTGTGATGTCAAAACAATATTTGTAAGTTGAAAACCACGTCGTTAAGGTAAAAACAACGGTTGACCAAGTCCACACCGTACACGGGTGGTTTTCACCAAAAGACAAAACCCAAAGGTGATTTTCTTGATTTTTTGATTGGAGAACCATTTAAACGCATTCAAAAAGAATTCCCACACAAAAAGACTCGAAAACCACTTCATTTAAGTAAAAACCGCGGCTAGCCAAGTTTATGTCGTTTCGCATGGTTTTTGTCAAACGATAAAAAACGAAAGGTGGTTTTTGAGGTGTTTTTGTTGGAGAACTGTTTAAACATGCCAAAGAGTGAAATCCAATCATAAAATTCTGAAAACCACTTGGTTGGTTCAGACCCCAAAAACCAACGCCGATAACCGAAAGCCGAACGCCAGTTTCTGAAAGCTGAACGCCGGATGGCTTGGTTTTTGGTTTGGGCGAACACCAAGTGTTTTTATTGACTTAAAAAATTTTGAAAAACATTTTTATGATGTAAAAAATGCAATGAAAAGAATTTAGCCTAAAGAGCCAAGGTGTAAAGATTGGGTCGATCTTGATCACAATAAAGGCCGACTCAACGATACTAAGACTAAGGTCTTCGTTCTTGGTATTCGTTTAGCTCTTGTTCTTATCTTCGTTCTTCGCCTTGTATATTCAATGTTTGAATTGATCACGGCGGTTTGGCATTATCAAAACCTGTCATAAAACGAACACGGATTTAGTACTAAAACGTGATAAACTCGTGTTTCAACACATCCCACATTACTTCATAGATGTTCCTGATTCTCTTCCCAGTGAGAATGACTTCATTTGTGGAGATGTTCTTGAGGGATGCCATGTCCTTGCAGAATTCCAGAGAGTAACCTCTATCACAGAACTGACTTATGCTAAGAAGGCTATAGTTGAGACCTTCCACATAAGATACAACCTAGATGGTTAGTCCCTTGTACACCAGATTTCCTAGCCCTTTTGTAAGGCCAAAATCATTGCTTCCTCCAAAAGTAACTCTTGGACCATCATAGAGAATAAGATTTCTCAAAAGGCTCCACTACAAGAATCTGTCATTTCTGCGACAAGAAAATTCTGTCGCAGATATTTTAAATCCGTAGCAGATCCCATATTAGCAACAACGTTGCTACCAAAGATGTCCGTCGTAGATTTGTCGTCGCCCGACCAAAATCTGCGACAGAAACGTTGTTTCGTCGCATACGTAGCGACGGAAGCTGCGATGGAAACCGGTTTGGTAAAATTGCAAAAAAATGCGACACTCTGTAACGGAAAGAGAATCCGTTGCAGATCTGCGACGGAAATTGCAACAACTGCTTCACAATGCAATGCAGGTAAAATCTGAGATGGGAATGGGGTCCGTCGCTATTCCGTCGTAGATATCTTGCTTATAACCAACCAGAACTTGGTTTGTTCCCTACACAGCAGCTTTTAAAAAACAGATATGGTAAAATACCATTCACTGGTGAGGGGAGTTCATACGGGGTAGAACAACAAAGAACACATCCTCAATAAAATCACAATGAAATTTTAAATATAAAGAATTCCACATCGTAATGTAGAACAAATACAAACTTGTAAGTTAATGTTATTCATCCATAAAACCCAATAAAGTCAAAGTTTTGGCATTCAAACATTCTAACAAACAACCTCTGCTTGCCCTCTGCTCCATCATCATCTCGAGGAGGGTTGTTATTACCATGCAACTTTTTAAGATCTTCAAGGATTATTGTGAACTTCAAGGCTAGGACTTCAAATTGTTCTTGGAGGCGTGTGTTCTATTCTTTCAGGATCTCCATTTCACTTTTCTTGGTCGTAGAAGATCTAGAGCGGTGATGTGTGGATGAGGACTTCAACTTTCTCATCTTGTGCTCGTAGTCACTGACTCCTGGCACGTGATTCCTCATATTTTGGCCCTCGACTAGTGAGTACCAAATTTTGTCATCAGTGACATCAAGTCCATTTTTTATAGCCTCATCGCGAAGAGTATTAAATCGAGCCTACACAAACACAACAAGGTCATCCAACTAGTTATATAATAACACCACAAACAACAAAAATATGAACAAAAACAATAATTACACTACAACACAAACACCAAGAATAATAATAACAATTTATTCCTCAACAACTTTACCCAAGAGCTACATACTAGCAACATTAAGAACAATAACAAAAACATGAATAAGAACAATAATAATAAGATCATAGACCAATGAGACTAAAATCATCAGTACTAACAACATCTCCAACAAGCTACTAACAACATCACGAACAATAAGCTACTATATCAATAAAAACATCTACATCTCCAATAAGCTACGAACTAAATCATCACCAATTATCAATAACAAGACTAAATAAAAACTTCAAGAACTTTAATAATTTCATCACAAATAAAAACTTCAAGAAGCATTAAAATAACACTTACCCAAAGAACAGCATCAGTTAGATCAACCCATGTCTACCCATCAAGCTTCTTTGTCTTTGTATGGACGATGACTTCTTCCACCGAGATAGGCACTACTTTCTTTGCAGCCTATGATATTAAAATCATATATATATTAAACATTACATTCAATGTATACAAATAGGTGTCTCTTTATTTTTTGCTAAATATTTTACCAGTCGATTATAATTCTGAGAAAACAGAATCGTCCCTCTAGTGTACGTCCCAAGCGCAGGACCATCCTCTTTACCCCTGCGCCTATTCTTCTTCTTCTTTCTCTTGCTTGTTTCCTGAAATTCCGGACCACTCCAACCCTATTGACATTTACATTAGACAGTTAACCACTTTTTTAGAAAATTAAGGTTTTTATTTTATATATTACAAATTTACCTCCTTCAGGCTCTCTAAAGTAGCCACTTCCACCGTATTCTTTTTCAACCGACCGTCCATCCTCTGATTGTACATGTATCCACTGTACAAACCTGCAGCCCTGCTAAAAAACGCATCCTTCATTTTCTCCTCATCTATCGCCAGACTCTATTTAACCCTTTTCTACATTCAAACCATAAGAAGATAATAATTTTGTAAATACATTATTTACCAAAAAATTAGATCCACATCTTAAGCATATATAAAACATAAAAAAACCTTGAACTCCTGATAATAAAAATCCTGGTAAGAATCTGAGACGTCTTTCCATGTCTTTCCTGCCGGGTCTTCTTCAGGGAGAATGCGGGTGTGATTTTCGCAGCACCATCTCGTGTGATGACAATGCTGAACATATAGTTATATTTATAATTCATTATATCAATAAAGTATTAGAAACTAAAGCATTGAATCATAATTAATAATGTTATCACGATCACGTACTCGTCATCCGAATTCACGTAAATGTATTTATTGCCCTCGAGCTGGTCATCCTCATGCTGGTTGGCCTCATCAACCCCCTCCTCATTATGCTCTTCCTCATGTTGATCCTCCTCACGATGCTCCTCCTCAAGCATCCGAGCCCCTGCGAAAATGATTTCTCCTTAAGCCAATAACACAAAATAGATGTATTCATCTACAAAACCTAAAAAAAATAAATAAGTTAGAAGTACCAGTATTAGCTGATGTCTCCGTAAGTGGAGTGGATGATCTATGCGAACTGTTCAATGCTCCCGATGACAAAGAGGGCGACAAAACAGGAACCCGAGAGGAACCCGCATTAGAGGAGTCCGTCCTTAAGGAGCCCACCCCAGAGATCCGCCAATCACCAAATAGGTTTCGGCGGAGGTGTTCTAAAGTAGAAATCCGTGAGGACGGGGAATCATCATTACCATTGCTCATCTAAAAAAAACCACAATAAATCTAAAGTTAGCTCATATAAAACAATCTAAAAGAATAGAGATAAATGAATTACATATAAGAAAAAGTAATATAACAATGGCAAACCATGTTGACTACTCATTCAAAGGACTCGCTATTTGAGCTGTCTTCAATTTCTTCTTCCGAAGTGTCAGAGCTTAGAATTGGCTCCTCTTCTTCTTCAGTGTGCAATTCATCAACGGTAAATTTAGCATCTCCATCAACCGATAGAACTATTGTTTCATCATTGTTATGTTCGACTTCTACTATACTAGTTCTCTATGTCTCATTTGCTTGAAAAGGTTCTTGATGCACATTTTCATTTGGTTCAATGGAATTTTTAATGTCTTTCCACCCCCTTTGTTGCACTTTGCACACTGCCACCCACTTACTCTTACTCTTTTGTGTGCATGGGTATTCAACATAGACCACTTGATTAACTTGTGATCCAAAAATGAAAGGTTCATAGCGATTAAACTCTCCTTTTTAAGCACTTCAACCAAGCCATACTTATCGTGCACCTTCGTGCCACGATTCAAGCAAGGGTCAAACCATCGGCACCTAAACAAGACACAGTGTTTTAGCGGCAATGCTGGATATTCAACTTCTAGTATTTCCTCCAATACTCCATAATAATCCGTGTAATCTCCTGTTATACACACCCCACTGTTGTACTTTGCACAATTTGACCCATGTGTCGATGTATGGAATCGATATCCATTCACGAAATAAATGGGGTAGCACTTGACATTGGGTAAGGGCCCTCTCGCTACATCTCTAATTATTTCAGGTACAGACTTGTCACTTTCGGCCTGTATTTAAAAAAAATTGGAAATATGATACCACTTACATATTATTAAAAATAGTGGGCATATGTGTACTTAAATATAAATGGATAGAAACAAGACATTACATATTTTAAAAACCAATCTACAAACGTCTCTTCCACGCGCTTCAATAAAGATTCATCACTTATTCCTGGACCAGCTTCTCTAATCTCATTTGAGTATAACTTGAGGAGTTATTTCTTGAATATTCCTACGTGTTTGTACAAACCAAGATTCATAGTAATTATAAGACTTAAAATACTTACATAATGTAAGGATCAATCTCAGGGTAGTTAAATAGGACGTATTGGTGTGCGACTTTTTGCTCATCCAGAGTCAACCGCCTATTATGCATTTTCCCTTGTAAACGTCTAGGCGTCCTAAAAATTGCAAAAATCTCTTCACTTGTTTCCTCCCCCACTCACCCGCGGCTCAGGATCATTACGAAGCACATTTCTACATCGAGTATACACATGCTCTTCAAAATAATGGGAACAGAAGTAAGACACCTCCCTTACTAGATATGCATTAGCAATTGATCCTTCGACACGAGCCTTGTTTTTCACCATTTTCTTTAGGCGATTAAGGTACCTACATTTCCGTGAAAGACAACGTTTACATACATATCTTCAATTAACTATGAAAAACACAAATTAATATCGTCTAAATTACCTCTCAAAAGGATACATCCACCGAAACTGAACAGGGCCACCAACTCTCGCCTCGTAAGGTAAGTGAATAGGAAGATGCTCCATACTATTAAAAAACCATGTGGAAAAATTACTTCTAGTTTGCATATAATAACTGGGATATCACCCTCTAACTTGGTAAGGTCCTGTATGGATAGAGTCTTGCATGTTAACCTCTTGAAGTAGTTTCTTAGCTTAGTAATTGCTTCCCATACAACTCTTGGAAGTAACTCCTTGAATCCAATGGGCAGTAGTCTTTGCATGAACACATGGCAATCATGACTTTTCATGCCAAACATCCTCAGCTTAGTTGGGTCCACGCATCTCCCCAAATTCGAGACATACCCATCTGGAAATTTCAATTCCTTCACCCAATCAAGAAATGCTTGTCGTTGGGCTTAATCCAAAGTGTAGCAAGCTTTTGGGCACTTTCCTGTTTGAGGGTTACGCTCCAAATCCTTTCTAGAGCAAAACAAAGATGCTCATTTTCCTCCACTTGCATGAGGTATTCTTCACAATGTCAGAGTTAATGGCATCGCCATCTGAGTCTACTATCTTCCTCAGGCTTAAAGATTCAATCTCATGCCTAATATCTTTCCCACTCTTCCGAATCGGTGGTGACTTCTTCTCGATTTGATTTTTGATGAACTTTTTCTTATTCCTTTGAAAGGAATGGTCTCTTGGAAGAAAACGTCGATGTGTGTCGAGCCATGACTGTTTTCCCCCATTAGGCAACCTGAATGACACGACTTGATCCATACAGATTGGACATGCTGTCTTTCCTGCTATGCTCCATCCCGACATCATGGCGTACGCGGGGAGATCGCCAATTGTCCACATGAGTGTAGCATGCATTTTGAAGTTTTGTTTTAACGAAGCATCATAGGTGTCCACGCCCTCGCTCCAAAGACTCTTCAGCTCTGCGATTAGTGGCTGCAAGTACACGTCAATCTTTTGTTTTGGGTTAGACCTCCCAGGCACAATTAGTGACAAGAATATGTGTTCTTCTTTCATACACATATCAGGCGGAAGATTGTACGGAGTAATCATTACAGGCCAACATCAATATTGTGACCTAGACTGACCAAACGGTTGGAACCCACCTGTGCAAAGTCCAAGGCGCACGTTGCGTACCTCCGACGCAAAGGTAGAATGTTCAGCATCAAACTTTTTCCATGCTTCAGAATCGCATGGGTGACACATTTCATCCTCGTTTGTGTGTCGATGATTGGCATGCCACCTCATTGCACTTCCTGTATGTTTAGACATATTTAGGCATTTCAACCTAGGTGTTAGCGGAAATTAAAACATCTGCCTATTTGGAATGTTAGACTTCTCGTCTTTATAACGCGGCTTGTTGCAAACCTTGCACTGTGTGAGACTTTCGTCATCTCCCTAATATAACATGCACCCAAGAATGCAACAATGAATCTTTTGGACGGGGAGACCAAGATCTTCAATTAGCTTTTTTGTTTGATAACATCCATCCACCATTGTGTTGTCTTCAGGTAGAGCGTCTTGGAGGAATTGGCAGAAGGTGTCATAACATCGCTCAGATAAGTTATGTTAAGACTTGATATTTAACAAACGTGCAACTACAGACAGCTTGGGCATCTTATTACATCCTTTCCATAGATCGGTATTAGAGGCTTTCAACATTTCAAAAAATTTCTTATCGCTCGGATTTGGCTCTTCCTCAACAATAGAGTTAACCCGAGACAGGCCGACACTATCAAATACCATGTCTGCATATTGTTCTCTTATTCACTAACAACACTTCGTGCATGGGCAACACATTTTCTTATTCAGCATCTTATACACATTCGGACTTGACACACAATACTTTACGAATCCTTTAATATTATCTTTCCATAATTCACTAACAACACCTTCTCTCTCGTACTTGTTATACATCAAGTCACGATCTTCGAATGGAAGACTCATATTAACAATGCCTATCAATTGAAAGTCATCAAGCAAGAAACTTTAACCATACTAAATAAACATGAGATAGCCCATCAACTAATTAAACATAAAAAAATCCTTGGTAATAATTGAAAGACAATAACCAACAATCTCTAATCATGAATATCAACCACAATATTTTACCAAAAAATAATATAAAAAATAAAGTCCAACAAATAACGATGTCTAACCACAAACAATAATCATGTAAATTTAAATACCATAGTAATTTCACACAATTTCAACTCTAATTCCCCTAAAAAGCTCTTAATTTCACAACAAAAAATTATTTTAACCTAATTTCATGCCAATTTCAACCATTATTAAGGCAAATTCATATAAATTTAATTCAATTTAACCTAAAATCTTATCAATTTCACAAAAATATCAATTTCATCCAAAAAATGGTAAAAAAATTAAAAAAAACCTTGGTGGAGGAGGAGGAGGAAGACAGTGGCTGGTGGGGGAGGAGGAGGAGAAGGCCGGCGAGTAGAGACGGAAGACGGCGACTAACGAACGACAATGCTGGCAGACGAGGGTTGGAGGACGAAAACGCAGGCGGACGACGGCGGAGAAGCGCTGGGGGAGGAGGCCGGCCTTGGGAGGATGAGGCCGGAGCGGATAACCGGCGGTGAAGGAGGCGGAGATGCAGCAGCGTGAGCTTCGGCGATGAAGGGCGGCGTGGGTTCCGGCGTAAGAAAGGGTTTGTGTTTGTGTGGTTGTCCCGTAAGTGGAGAAGGATGAGACTTTTTTAACTGAAGCCTGCGATGGAAACCTCTCCGTCGCTGCTTACCGTCGCAAGTCTACAACGGAGAAAAAGATTTCGTCATTGATTTTGTTGGCGGAAGAAACTTTTAGTTTAGCGCAAAAACTCTGTGACGGTTTGCTTTTTTCCATTGCTAATCTGCGACGGAATTTGGTTTCCATCGCAGATATTTTCTACGTTAACAAATTGACCTGCACGCGTCGCAGATTTCTCGCAGACCTGCGACAACAATTGTTCCGTAGCAGATTCTCGTTGCAGACACCTGGGTACTTAGTGGCGTCCTGCATTAGGAGGAGGAAGATTTTGGTACCCAATTCAGTTTGGGTCCGGAATAGTTAATGGTGTGTGTCCCTACATCAAGTTTAAAATTACAGGGAATTTTCCTTGCAGCTCTAAACTTGTTGGGATTATAGTCATAGTTGTAGGCATAGAATTTCCTACGTGCAGGTGGTGCAATTTCTTGTTTCCTCCTAGCAAACCTAGGTTGATGAGACTTATGGTTTTGTCTAGGTTGTGCATAGTGTGGCTTGTGAGGGTTGTAAGCATACTTAGGTGGAACATATAATTTTTGGGGTGGAGGATGACTATATCTTGGCATATTTCTCCACTCAAGTTTCTTGGAAAACTCCTATCTACCCCATAATGAGTATAGCCTCGTGTATAGTGGGGGTTAGAAGGTTTTCTTCTGAAACTTTTTCCTTTTTGAGGTGTTTCCAGCTTCCTATAGTTCTTAGGAGGGACTACCTTTTTGGGAACTTCTGTTGGTTTTTCCTTTTCCTTACCTTTCTGCTTATTGGGTTTGACAGTAGGTTTGGGAGGAATGAATGTTGTTCTCCCTTTCCTTTTGGAACTGGAGGGGTCATACCCAAGTCCTACACGACCCTTATGTTTGGTCGTTTCAAGAAGCTTATCCATAGCTTCTTTGGACTTTAGTATCCCTAGCTCCTTGTTGAGAGATTTTACCTTTTTAGAGAGAGATTCATTCTCAGCCTTGAGTTGAGTGATCTCACTTAGTTGACTTTTCTGACCTTCGGTCAATTTGAGATTCTCTTCACTCAATAATATTTCCAATTATTATAAAGTTCATTTTGAGTGTTCAATAGTTATTTAAGATTTATAAGAATTAATCTAAACAAATACAATTAACTCAAAAATTGGAAATAAACAATTTCAAAAATTACAATATAATTTTATTAACCATAAAATGATATTTTATGTCCATTAAAATTATCTTTACAATTTCGAAATATATATAAATATATATTTTCAATATTCCTGATTATATTCATAAAATTTATATAATCGATACAAATAAATAATGAACATTTCTTTAAATGATTTATTTAATTCCAAAATTTATTTCAAGACTAAAATAAATGATTTTACGAATTTTCGAGATTAAAAAAAAATACCAAGTTAAAGTTTAATTTCCAAGCGCAAAAGTTCTACGAAAAACTATAGTTTTGAACGTTGGCTTCGATACCACTCAAAGGTAACCACGGTTGGGAGGGAAGCGGAAATACGACTTACTGAACCTATAATCCTGAAATATCCTACATCCAACAATAATTCTTGCCTCCAAACCGCAGCACCAGACCAGACAACCTAACTAAAATATCCACACCTCTCATCGCTGAACAGATCACACAACTAACCTCGACACAAACATACAGATCGAAGGCACTTAAAACCCACAGAGTAAAAAGTATGGACAAGGGTTTCAACACTGACCCTCAACATTGAATCAAAAACCATCTTCCAAAAACAAAGCATAAGAGGAACCCAAAAAACTTTCATTTCTTGTTGGACTTTGTTTTGTTAATACCCTTAGATCATAGTAGAGTAAAGTCCCTAGTTTCTTGGTGTTTCTTTTTTGGGCACAAATTTTTTAATGCCCAAAGTATTTTTTTATCAATGTCCTCTTCACATTCATTATTATCTTTATATGCTCTCAAAGATTTAAAAAAAACTTACTCGAAACCAGAACATTATGCCTTTTGAAGAGCTTAACCATTTCCAACAGAGCTTTCCAACATCTAGATTTGCACAGATCAAACATTAACACATAACAAAATAACAAAATCCTTCTCTTCCCAAAGAGCATATACAAGTTCAGTGCAATATTCATCTGTATGCTGAATTAAAAAACAAGGAAGCACTTGCAAGTTGGTCACAGTAAACATCTCTTCTTTTTGGGTCATCATGACCCAAAGAACAAAACTTCTCACTTGATGATCATGGAAAACAGAATGTGTGAATGAAAATACGTCTTTCAACATCCTGACCGCTCAACCTTAAATGCATAGTGAAATTCCTAATGAATTCAGACTTGTAAAAACCTATCATGCAGGTTTCTATTTTTGAAGGGGCTCTATGTTGTGAAGATGCCTATCATCCAAACATTAAAAGAAATAAATTTGTATTTTTTCTGTAAAAGATAAAGAAGTAGGTTTATTATAATAGAGATCTAGAGATTTACTTATTAAACTTTTTTTTGTCTAAAATAAGATGTAGAAATGCAGGCATATCAACCTTGAGTTTGCACAGGATGTGGAAAACAAGAATCTCCAAAATATCAAGAGCCATGGAGCCTTTAAACACCTCTGCAAATCATTAGGAGTTGAAACCTTTTTGGTTAAAACAACTTGTATATTTCACTTCACATATCATAGCTCATAAGTATCTTTTTTTTCAACAAAAAGAGGATTAATTTTTTGTTTCAATTAATTTTGATATTTGTCCACAGTAGTTATATGGTCATTATTTCAACCCTTAATAACTGAATACTCGCTAATTAAAAATTAGTATGGATAAGTTTGAACCTTTCTCAGCAATATGTCCAAGCCAAAGTGAAACAAATAAAATAATCAAATTCATAATAAATACATATGTAGACATAATATAAATTAAACTAAAAACTGGTTTAAAATGATAAAATGGTTCAATATGTAGAGGAAAATGCTATGAATTGACTCAAATAAGAACTTACTACGGGGAAAAATTTGGAAAATGAAGTAGAGGAAATTATGCAGTATATTATAGAAATGGGAGAGAGGGTTAGGTACCCCTTGTATTTATGCACTTTTTCCGTTAAAGAAATATGTACTCTGCGCAGATAGAATCGTACATTCAATTTTTTTCTCTTTTGTGCCCCTACGGCGTAAACCCTGTCGAGCTCGTATGGGACTTCAATTTGCTCATCACTCGGCGTTATTGCATACGGTAATTAAGAGTGCATTAATATCTTCTCCGTTCCAAATTTTTGTGTGTGTAACCGGTCAGGGATCCAAAAAGTTTCAATACGGTACTTCGAGCGTCCATATAAATCAATCGGCAGCAGGTCATATATATATATATATATATATATATATATGTATGTATGTATGTATGTATGTATGTATGTATGTATGTATGTATATAGACATTAAAAAATCCATAAAAGAAAACCAACCATATTTTTTAGGACATTTAAAATTAATACAATAAGAAAAAAAAGTGTAAATTGAATCGAAAATAAACTTTTACAAAGAAATTGGAGAAGAAAAAGAAATTGACAAATGTAGGGTTACAAATTTGAAGAAATTGAAGAAACTTTGAGCTGGAAAGCTATTGTAACCTCTGATCAGAGATTCTTCCGCCATTCCGCCGGACACCACCGCCAGCCTTAGCCTCGTCGTTGGAGCTGCTGCCGACCACCGCCATTGCAGCGGCTAGAGCCGCTGTTCTTACTCGATGATTCCCTCTTTGTTCTTTTGATGTGCAATTCGTCATTAATTTATAGGATAATAAGAGCAATGGGCCTTTAATTTCTTCACGTTGGAGCACTTGAGCGAGATTTGTGGAGAGACGTTGGAGCGTTCTTCCGTTCCAAAGTTGACGAAGGAGATGGAGAAAGCCGCTGGATTTTTTTCATTCTTGCATTTCATTCTTGCATGAGACTAAAGAGGAGGAAGGTATGGGCTTGTTTTGTTGATGGTTTTGGGCTTTGGCCCAAATTCAACTTCTTCTTTTCAAACTTGAACTCAAATTTGGTCTTTTGCTAAAAAAAATTCTCCAAACAAACTAAGATATCTAATAAACTACTCCGTATATAGGTTAGGAAAAATAAAATAAAAATAATGCAATGTAAAAAATGATTAAAAACTATTATTTTTGAAAGAAAATTAAAAGATTGTAAAAATAGAAATTAAAATAAAACTAAGCTAAAAAACTAAAAATTAAACTTTAAAAATATTAAAAATGCCTACAAAAGAAATAAAAAGAACTAAATCAAACCTGACTTATAAGAAGGTAATTAAAACTTATTGACGACTAATTTGGAAAAAATAATTGGAAATTTAATTTTCTCATAAATTCTAACCTTTTATGTGCTTTTCCATAAATTCTTCTACAAACAACTAAACTCTGCTCAACCGCATCAAAATCAAATCAGGGAAAGGGAGAATTGGATTCATCGTGGTTCTGTCCATCGGTATTTAAGAATGGCGAATTCATCGACCCCAGACTGTACGATGCATCTCCATGAAGATCATACTTCGATGGGAGAGGAAATAGGCCAGATCGGGCAACTCATTGACAAATACCTTCAGATGAATGTGACATCAGGTATGAATCTGATACAGCACAAGGGAGAGCCACACCCTAAAAGCTAGCTGATAAGGTGGGAGAACCCTTGGCTATATAAACTCATCACCAAGTCCCCCATTTAACCGGTGTGGGACAATGAAATCAGTCTGTATCATTTGACCCCCCATAAGGCCCAACGTCCTCGTTGGTCACGGCTATGTTGGTCACGGCCACGTTGGTCACGGCTGGTTTCACCAGGCCACCACTCCGAGTTGGCTCTGATACCATTGATACAGTCCTAGGAAGCTACTCAGGAACGGAGAAGGAGAGCTTCGAAAGATCTGTAAAATACACAGAAGAACCGAGAGAGAGATAGAGGGAGAATGACGAGAGAGATAGAGATTTGGAGAAGTTTTTATTCATTTCTTGATTGATACATTTTTTAGAGATAGGGTATAAGAGCTACCCCAACTAATAACCCTAACAAACCCAACTAACCCCCATTGGTATCAGAACAGTCACGATCCTTCTTCAACAAATTTGATCAATTGCCCTAGTCAACACAAGATCAAAGTAGCAATGGAAGAATCCATCCAGAAGATTTTTGAACAGCATCAAGAAGGGATGAACCGGCAACTGCTAGAACATCAAAGGTCAATGGATGAGCAATTTCGATCATTCACATCATTATTACACAAGCTTCAATCATCAAATGTCAGCACCAAAACAGCAGTAGGAAGCTCGCCTATGCACACCGAAGGTAGACATCCATTTTCCTTTAACCCTAGAATTGAATTGCCTTTGTTTATGGGGGGTAATCAGAAAGTGACTTTAGCTTCAATTCATTTGGAGGGGAGGGCTAAGATATGGTTTGAAGGTTATGGGCGAGCTAGGCCTATTGTGGATTGGGAGGATTTTATTGTGGATTTGTATGCAAGATTTAAAGATGATAAACATGTATGTTCGAGATTCAGTAATGATGCCGATCACAAATCTTTGTTGAACCATCCAGCATCCACATCTAGCCCTTTGATCACTCAGGAACCTTTTGGAAGATGGTCTGATGTACACGTGGATGGTCTGGAAACTTATCAAGGGCACACCAGCATGGTTAAATCTTTTAGTGTTAATAATGTCTCTCTTTTTGAGTCCTCAGCTGATAACCCTGTGCAAAAGGACTCATCATATTTGAAGTTGGAGTTCCAGGTTTCAAGAAAAACAACACTGATTCCAGTTGACTGTTCCCATTTAGTAGAACACCTCTCGTCCGAGTCTTGTGATGATTCAGATGTGGCTAAGAGAGACAAAAGAGAAATTGTTAAGGCAAATGCTTCTGAGGAACATAAATCAATGGCTAAGCTTGAATCTGTGGCCAGGACCAATAGTGCTGAGAGCTCTCAATACTCTAACAGCAAGGTCCAGTTTCCACCACAAGGAAACCCAAGGTCTATATCTTTTGCTATAGGAGGGGAAATAATGGCAAATGGATTGGACTATTATTGTGGTAATCCATTTGAATGGGGACATAAGTGTGAGAGAAAGGGGATTCAGCCCTTTCTGGTGGAGCTTTTAGGGAAAAAAATGGTTGATCAATTTGAGATACCTGGTTGGGCAGCAAGGGCTGGCAGTGCAACATCCATTTCAATTCACACTTTACCTGAGAACAGTGGTTGCCAAATTATGAGGATGACAGGATTTGTAGGGAAAAGGGCTTTACAATTTTTGATAGATTTAGGAGGTACACACAGCTTTGGGGTTAATATGATGCTCATAAAGCTAGGTTTTTACCCTAAATTCAGTAGGGCCTTGAGAATAACAGTGACAACTGGATACAACATACAAGGTACCTCAGTCTGTAAAAATATCATAGGAGTGCTGCAGAATGGAAGCAAAGAGGCATTACCTGTACTCTTCAAACTATTAAATGAGTATGTCAGGGTCCAGGTTTTGCAAACCCCGGCTGGTCTCCCACCTAATAGAAGTACTTTTGGTCCTGGAATTTCACTGAAAGAAGGAAGCCATCTGGTAACTCTCATACCTTACAAACACTCGCAAAGTGATGAAGCTCATTCCCAGGAAATCTGCAAGGTAAGTGTCAACTGTTCTAGACCTATTCAGATTTTGGACCAAATAAGAATAAGGAGGAGAAATACTACCAGAAGATAGTGGTTAGTTCCTTGGGCAGGACAATTACAAGGGAAGAGAAAATGTAAAGGGGTATTAAGGAGGAATGTCTTTATGGATGTTATAGAAGGGTGGCTTAACTCATTGGGTAGACAAACTGAGGTTGTTAATAGATACCCTGAGACCCATTTGAGAGCCATGGGCAATGAACTCCCAAAACTCATCAAGGAGGCAACTCATCCACAGTTACCCTCTTGGTTACTTGGATTAACTGCTGCAACTAGGCTTCAACCACTGGTTGTACCAGCTAGAACACAAAGGTTGATTCCATGGGAAGTAGATTGGGTATGCACATGTGTTCAGCTCATCAGTTCAACGCACCTTTTACCACTTTAAAGGAGGTCCAAAACAGAGTGAAGCAATTGGTTGATTCTCATGGCATTGATAAGATTTTGTAGCAGGGTCCTTACATATTCAAGTGAGGAGTGGCCATGTGGCTTTTACAAACTATTGCTGCGAGAGAGTGCAGAGGTTCACAATGTCTCTATTGAAAGCTTTTAAAGGACCAATGCTGACTACTCCATTCAGGTTTCTATGTCAAAGGGTACAAGATGTTGCAAGGAAGTGGTGAGGATTCAGAAACCAGTTTTAGCTTTTCAACCTTGAGGACAAGGTTGTCCTAAGGGGGGTAGTATGATACAGTGTAAATGGGGGTTAATTGGGTTTGTTAGGGTTATTAGTTGGGGTAGCTCTTATACCCTATCTCTAAAAAATGTATCAATCAAGAAATGAATAACAACTTCTCCAAATCTCTATCTCTCTCGTCATTCTCCCTCTATCTCTCTCTCGGTTCTTCTGTGTATTTTACAGATCTTTCGAAGCTCTCCTTCTCCGTTCTTGAGTAGCTTCCTAGGACTGTATCAGAATCCTTGTACACACATAATCTATGGGTGTGTAATATTGTATATTTGAGCAGAGGGCGTGTGTAATATTATATATGTTCATCTGTATTGTATTTAGGAGCAGAGGATTCCTCGACCAACAACGGCACTGTACATGTCCGTGAAAATCATACTCGTTTAGCAGCCCATATCAAAAAACGCGTTGACCAACTGCTCACATTTAATCCTCAACAGGACCGGCTTCTTAGGGGCTATCAAGATACGAAGAACACCATAGGTGTCGATTGAAATGCTACGAAGTTACACCATTTGGGATGGTATAACTCTACATTTCCTTACACACACACACACTTGTATTTTAACCTGTATCATGCATGAAGTTAAATGAAATTTTTTACTTTGTAATTTGTAATTATTATTCATTGTATAAGATTATTCATTCTATAATTAATAAATTATATTTGTTCGTAAAATTTTTTAATGAAAACTATCACATTCATTCCGACAATCTTGCCTCTGTTTGCTTCCAAAATCACATCGCATCATTCCTTCTATTTACATGCGTGTAGCAAATGAAACATACTACTCGCTCAACGTTGAAGTTGAGTAAGCATATCTAATGTGTCGACCATCCATATAAACTGAATCTAAATTCATAATCATATCATTTGATATCATGCACACAATGTCCAATTCAGACATTCATAATTTTGACATTGTTCAGTTCATATAAACATATTTTATTCAGTTCAGATATTATTTTAACAGTGCTCTTAAATTATTCTTAATCTAAGGCCAAATAATAACAATGTTCTTCTTTGCTATTCTTAGTCTAAGACCAAATCATAACAACGCTCTTAGCCATTCTTAGTCTAAGGCCAGATCCTAACTTCATTCTCAGACACTTAAACTATAATTAGTTTAAGGCAAACAATTCTCCGACGCTTAAACTATAATTAGTTTAAGGCAAAGAATTCTCGGATGCTTAAACTATAATAAGTTTAAGGCAACAGTTCTCAGACGCTTAAACTTTAAGTAGTTAAGACAAACAATTCTCGGACGCTTAAACTATAATTAGTTTAAGATAACAACAAGACAGTGATTAATTATCATTAAGTCGATGTAATTTCAAACGAGTGATCCTCCAATTTGGTCTACGAATTCTGTTATTTCATTTTTATCCAAATCACCAAATATTCATATTTTAACAAATCCATTCTAATATGAGATCTATTCTAGAGGTCTTTTAGATAGCCTTAACATCAATTGTCTAAATGGGTATATGTTAGAGTTCTAATAGATATCCTTAAGAATACAAATCATTTTGTAATTATCAATGTATTCATTTTACTAATAGTTCAATCATAAACAATCATCTTAATCATTAGGTTCATCATTCATAGTCATTCATAACAATCATTCATCATAACCATCAACCAACATAAAATCTAATAGCAAATAGCGGCTTAGTTTCGAGTGTTAACACACTAACTTACCGCCATGAATCACATGACATTTTATTTGTTAAAAACATCATTTTCATGGTGAAAAACCATCTTTACACTATTCATAATTGATTGGTATAATTGTTTGATAAAAAAGATTGAATCTTTGTTTGTTGAATTAATTTGACTTTGAATAAATTCTAGCTCTATGCTACTGTTAAATCTAAACTCGAAAAGGTGTTCTGAGAACTATTATTTATCAGATTATACTTAAATTGGACCAAATTAGGAACACATGCCTAATCTAGTTTAAAATGTTATTCTTTTAAAGTCCAAAGTGCTTTAAATAGCCGAACTTTTCTAGAAACCAAGTGTCACTTGATTAGAACCTCCTGCCTCGATAAGTGGTTTTTGCTGATCAAGGTTCTCAAACTGATTTTGTTAAATAATCGTAGTGTTACGACAAAGTTGTTGTGGTGATGTTTTCCGAAGATTTTAATGCGCTATTCTTAGTAGTAACTTAAGAGTTGGTCTTTGGGTTTCTAAGGGTAGTAGGGTTTAGAGTTAGGGTTGGTCTTAACATGAGCTAATATGAATGGGAAAATAGGGAAGAACTGTTGGTGGACCTCTTCTGCAGCCTAACCCTAAGTTTAATTAGCAGTTTAATTTCAGAATCAACACATAATTAATTGGGTAATTAGATTTGTTCAGTTTATTTTCTTCTAAATATTATAAGTATTTTCAAAACAGTTTAAGTTAATTTTTATTGTCTATGTTTTTATAAAGTTTAATGTGTGTTTGTTGTGTGTTTGTTTTTCACTGAGTTCGAGTTGCTGTTGCGGGTCTATCTCTAATCTATTATCCTTATCTTTATTTTATTTGCAATTTTATCTTTTAAGAATTATCACTCAAACCCCCCATATCTTTTAGTTTTAATTTTTAGATTGTAGTTAGTAGTTTTTATTCAATAAAAGTGACAAGTAAATTGATTTTCATAATATAAAAAGTATCTTTCCTCGTGGAATCGACTCTTACTTACTTCGTCTATATGTTTTAATAAATATTAGTTCATAAAGGCGGATTTAAGTTATGGAAAATAATAAATTAATTTGTAGGTGCTACGACGCGCCTATCAATAACTACCAACTCTGCCAACCTCTCACAAATTAGATAGCACCAATGAACTCTCCAGTCAACAAGGAACACAATGATGCTAACTTACTAAGTTTTTTGTGAAAAAATGGAAATTGTTTCTCCCTCTTATATAGGAAAAAGAAGAAGAAGGAGACAAGTAGTGTAGCTGCGTAGGAAAATGAATTAGTGCGCTGGGAGGCTCCGTCTCCACAGTGCCCCTGATTGGGATCAATTTTAGTTCCAGTCGGGGTACACTTTTTTGTCCAACTTTTTCCAAATTAAAATCCGTTTGCACCGCCGCGATCACAAAGTCGAATTCTATTCAACGATATACTTTTCATTATTATTTGTAATACTTTTTCTGACATCATATTTTTGGGTGGTTGACTTTGACAGAGTCAAAATTTATTCTGTTGACTTTTATTGAAAAAGGTTCTCATATTTAATTCATTATAATTACTCTCATGATTTATTTTGATAAATCATTTCGAAGTTCATACCATAACAATTTTTTCATTTATTCTTGATTTGGGTCAATACTCTAGTTCCCAATCAAGGTAACACAATAAGTCAACATATTGGATTTATCTCCATGAGATTTATCTAGATTATGATGTTGGATATCAAAACACATTTTATTTTGGTCTAAAGCCCAACAACAATTTATTTTAATCAAAACAAATTTGATTATTCAAATAATTATTCATTAAAAACTTTGGGATATGTTTAGGGGTGTTACATTTCTCCCCCTTAAAGGAATTTTGTCCTCGAAATTCTTCTAAGGTCCACAATCAACATTTTGTTGTTTCCATATTTACTCATGACCGCATTATGTTCATTCGGTTAAACCATAATTACGTCATTATCCACACGGATACGAAATCTCTAACTACCGTGGTTAGCAAACTTGTTCTATCTTTGAAAGATTAACAAAGATATCCAACGATCCTTTTGCAGATTTCCATTTGGAGTTTATCATCAATAACCAAGGTTCCTTTGCAGATTATAATATCGTATTTTGAGGCATATTTGACATACTTGTACATATCTTTGCACATTCACAATTCCCAATTGTACAATATCGATTAATGATACTCTTCTCCAAAAATAGCATTTTTCGTTGTTGACAAAGTTCGGAACGATCGACCTTTGTGGCAGAACGGTCGACCGTTATTGCAACCATGGTGGTTCTGGTCTTAAAACGGTCAACCTTTGTGGCAGAACGGTGGACCATTCCTGCAAACCAACGAACGACACTTCATCTTCAACCTCGAGTTAAATTTTCGAACAATCATTTTAAGCCACCAAACTTCAATTAGACTATATAGAAATGTTCCCCAAGGTTCCAAGATCATTTTAATATCAATAATTCGAAATTTTAACAACAAATTCAAGGTTTATGATTCTTGGTTTTTCAAGCATGCCAAACACAAAACTCAACCAAATGACCGTTTATAAACGTAGAAACGATCTATACGAACATTCTAGCTAGTCACTGGATATATCTACAGGCTTTACCTCGAAGCTTAATAGGGGTTTTAGAACTTTTCCAGCAAAACATCCGGCGATGATAACTGTTGAGTCACAAAATATCATATTTTATTCCCTCACTTCTTAGCCTTTTTAATACAAATTATGTGGATTATATACCTAAATAATCATATTTTTTTCTATTTAGCATTTTAGGCTATTGTTTACATTCTATACATAAAATGCATGATTTTTAGCATATTTATTCTACAAATAGTTTGGCTCTTAAAAATAAGATACAGAGTGAGGAGTAATGGAGAAGCGCAGGGAACGAAAATGTCCAGAAGCAAGCACGGAAGAGTAGATTTCTTCTCCAAATCCATCTCTAATTCCTCAAATCCTACTCCTAATTGAAGACTTGTAGACTTAAAATTGAGCAAGAAAAGAAGAACAGAGACGAGAGAAACATATCGAAGTAGAGGGAAAGAAGACCCGGCCTAGGGTACCGACCCTAGGTCCGGCGGCGACGGTAGGACGACGACCATGTTTTGGAGCAGCAACTAGCTTGGCTCTGGTTCTGGGCTTCTGTGCACCGTGCGAAGAAGACACTTCCAGGGAACATTACTTTTACTTTTCTGTTTAAGTTCTATGAATTAGGATCGTGAATTTGTTTAATTTCAAAATTGATGAATTTGATTTCCAATATTAAATATGTTATTTTTAAATCTTATTTTTGTGTTAAATGTTTAAGTTATAATATAAGTGATGAA